GAGGTTTTGGAGGGCTTTGATTTGGTCGGGGTTGGCTTCAATGCCCCGCCTAGGCACCATATACCCTAAGAACTTCCCTGATCCTACCCCAAAGGCACATTTTGAGGCGTTCAGTCGAAGCTTGTGAGTCTTCAGAATTCCAAACACTTGCTCAAGGTCCCTCAGATGGTGCTCGGCCAACTTGCTTTTGACGACCATGTCATCAATGCATGCTTCCATGGTTTTACCGAGCTGGTCCTTGAACATTTTGGTGACCATTCGCTGGTAGGTCGCACCAGCATTCTTCAAGCTGAAGGGCATCACTTTGTAGCAGTAAGTGCCTCTAGAACTGATGAAATCCGTTTTCTCTTGGTCAGGACCGAACATGGGGATCTGGTGGTAACCACTGTAGGCATCTAGAAAGCTCATGCGCTCATGTCCAGCCGTTGCGTCAACAAGTTGATCTATTCGTGGAAGGGGAAAGCTATCCTTGGGGCAAGCTTTGTTAAGGCTAGTGAAATCAACGCAGGCTCTCCATTTGCCATTCTTCTTTTTCACCACGACGGTGTTGGACAGCCACTTTGGGTACTGCACTTCTCAAATGACTCCAGCAGCTAAAAGTTTGTCAACCTCTTCGATCACTGCATCGGTATGTTGTGTGGATGACCGTCTACTCTTCTAGACAACCGGCCGCGCTCCTAATTGGACGTTGAGTCGATGACAAGCATAATTAGGGTCCAACCCAAGAGTGTCATAGACCGACCAGGCGAACACTTCGATATTTTTACGGAGTAGAGCCAGTAATTGCTCTTTCTCTCCAACAGTGAGGGAAGTGCCGAGCAGGAAGAACTTATCTGGGTTTCCTTCTTCTACCAAGACCGTCTCTAGGTCCTCTACCATCTTCTCGGTCGGCACTCCGCCGACGTCTTCCAAAACTGGCTGGTCAGGTACTTCCACCATCTGCACTTGGTCGCAGACTTGTTTGGTTTTCATGACGGCAATGAAGCAGTGTTTGGCAGCCACTTGGTCTCCGCGGATCTCCTCTACTCCATTCTTGGTTGGAAAGCGAACGAGTTGGTGATAGGTGGAAGGGACTGCCTCCATCTGGTGAATCCAAGGTCGGCCAAGGATGGCATTGTACGGAGATGGGATGTTTACCACCAAGAAGTCAACAGAGACCACCTTGGGCTTAGCTATGACAGGCAGAGTTATTCGGCCGAGCGGCCATTCTGTTTGCGAGTTAAAGCCAACTAAAGGGGAGGTGGCAGGTGTCAGGTGTTGCTCACTGAGGCCAAGTTTCTTGAAAAGCTCATAATACATGATGTCTGCGGCACTTCCTTGGTCAATCAAGACTCACTTCACATCGAACTTGTTGGCCACACCAACTGTAATGATGAGGGCATCGGTGTGGGGGTGCTGGATTCTCTCTAGATCCTTCTCAGTGAACACGACGTTAAACCGAGAAGGTCTGGCTTTTGTTTTGGACTTTTTAGGAGGAGGTCCTACCGACATTACCTGTTGGATGTGGGTAGGTCGTTGGATTTCTCCTCGAATGGTGTTATCTCTTTCGGGGTCAGTCATTCCATGGATAACGTTGATGACTAACCTCAGGGCATGGTTCTCTTCACGAGGGGCTTGGTCTAGTCCTTGCTTTTCCCTCGTCTTATCAACGTTTATCCATTGTTGGAGGTGTCTCGCCGTAACTAAGTCCTCCAAATGTTGTTTGAGAGCTATGCAATTTTGCGTCTTGTGTCCCTTCTCTCGATGATAGGTGCAACGCAATGTCTGATTGCGTCGAGCAGGGTCTCCAGGCATCTTAGCTGGCCAGACAAAGAAGGTTTCCCCTTCAAGTTTCTTGACGAGCCTATATATTGGCTCTTTGAAGACGGTGGTGATTCCTTCATAAGACTTGGCCCTTTCCTCCTCGTTTTCTACTGTGGAGCGGTTCTTTTGGCCATAGTTCTTGCGCTGCTCACCCCTCCATGGCTGCTCAGTCTTAGGCGGTCGAGGCGGTCTGACTTCTTCTTCAGCAACCGCAACATGTACTGAAGCAGCGTCATCTTCCACACGAGCTTGTTGCTCTATACGAGCCCTCAAATCCTTCATGGTGGGGGCAGGTCGTTTCGTCAACGACTGCCTTAGCTTGTGCGAAGGGGGTAGGCCTTGCTTGAAGTATAGCACGGCCAATTGTTCACTGCAAACATTTTCCTCCAAGTCACCATACTCCTCCCAATATCGTCGCGCGTACTGGCATAGGGTTTATTTCCCGTCCTTTCGGATATTGAACAAGGTATCTAATTGCTTTGGGACTCTGCTGTTAGAGACGAATCAGGCTAAGAACGCCTCAGAGAGCTGCGTCCACTCATAAATCGAGCCATTGGGGAGTTTGTCAAACCATCGGAGGCCAAGTTCTCCAAGGCTAGAAGGGAAGACTTTGCACATAAGTGCGTCGTTGCGGTTCCAGAGGGACATCATCTGGCGGTAATGGCTGATGTGGGTCAGAGGGTCTATCTTCCCATCATAGAGAATGAATTTCGACGGGCTATACTTCCGTGGAGGTTCTACAGCTTCTATCTCTGGGGAGAAGGGGGTGGACACCAACCAGTCTAGAGCGCGATGCTCTTGTTGGTATATGGACCGATCCAACTGGTCTTTTTCCCTATTGAGCCGGCGTTCCTCTTCCCTAGCTTGTCGATGTTCTCCTTCCCTGCATAGCCGTCAAGCCTCTTCTCTATTATTATTCAGCCAACTTCTCAAATCGTGTGGTCACTCGTCGCGACGACAATGAAATGTTTCAAATAGGCGGCTAATGGTCCTTTGCCTTTTATGAGAATTCTCTCGTGGGTTGTTTTTTTGTAGGTTATTCGTCCTACTGCTGACCCCTTCACTAAATACTAGAATCGGCCGGCTACGCTCTCTACCAGTTGGGCCACAACTGCAGTGCTCTTTGCGAGGCAGAGGGAGAGAAGGGGTACGTCTCCTCTGCGATGGTCCACCAACGAATTTTCTTGGCTCCGCTGGGGCCGCCATGAATTTCATCAATTGGGTGCGAAGCTCAGTGATCTCCAAATCCATTGAGTCGATGATGCGATCACGGTGGTCTTTCTCAACAAAAAGACGTTGAGACGTCTCAACGGCAATGACACGGCGTTGCTCCGCCGCATTGGGTGTCTGATCATCGTGGTCCATAAGGTCATCGTGCACTAGAGGGAATGCCAGACCCTTATCTTTGGTTCTCTCCATCATTGGAGTCCTCTCTGCTAGCCCAAAGTGGGGTGTATCTTCGATTCCCATCGCCGGAGTTCGTCACGAAGCAAACAGTGGTGTTTCCACAGACGGCGCCAATTGTGCAGGGGTGATTTCTACACTATGAAGAAGGGTTGAACTTCGTGGATGAACAGCAGGCTTTGGGAATTGAAGATCTACACAGAATAACAAACGGTGAGGCTGCCCGACCGGGGTTTGGTCGGAAACCCCTCCGATGGTAAAGTCAGGGACTCAGGGGGAGGAAAAAGAGAGATGAGAGAATACAAAGAGTGTACATGTGTTAAGTGTGTGGATTTTTTTGGATCCCTTGAGAGTGAATAGTGTTCACCTTTTATAGAAGAAGGTTGTTTGCCGTTCAAGTCCTTCTCTCTCCGCCATCTATCCAATGTGTCTTATTCGTGGTCGTCTCCCATTGGAGGAGGACGACCACTCCACCTAACACTCGAGTGCAGGTCTGTTTTGTTTGTCTTATTAGCGGACAACTCTCATTGGAGGAGGACGACCACTCCGCCTGCCATTCAGATGCAGGTCTGTTATATATGCACCTTGTCCCTCTGCACCTCCATGTCTCCACGTTCTGTTCATACAGAGGGAGAGAAGCAGGGTTGTTTGTCTCTTGTGGGCCCAAGAAAGATCTTCAGTGAATTGGTCTTCTTCAAGTTGGCCTACTCTATAATGGTTGTCCAACCAGGAAGTCCAACATGTTGCTCAGCCCACTTCGGAGTGGTTGTCTGTCCATCCAGGTGGTTCAACATGTTACTCAACCTACTTCGGAGTGGTTGGCTATCCGTCCAGGAGGTTCAACATGTTACTCAACCTACTTCGGAGTGGTTGGCTCTCCGTCCAGGAGGTCCACCGTGTTGCTCGGCCCACTTCGAAATGACGCTCGTACATTGGGCCGAACTCCTATGATTGTCTTGCTTCGGAGCAAGTGTTGGCCATAGGGCTGAGGTCCGACCTAGCTCCACCTTGGAGTGAGTATCTCATTGGGCCTAGCACCAAAACTTGATTAATTTTTACCCACTTCAATCGTAAAATTGTATATATGGATCAATAGGAAAGAAAATAAAAATAAAAAAAATTTGGTGGCATAATATTTAATTGCAATTTTGAAGGAGGGTTATTTTGTAATTTTAGCACGGGGGTTATTTTTGTGGTTTTGTATTTTTTTAGGGTTTTCAATAATTTAAATAGGACTCACAATTGAGGAAGGCTAGGATGCGAGAAATACCAGGGTTTGTTAAACTTAGAGTTGCAACCCTATGTATCGCCCCCTCCCCCCCTTTAACCCTTCTCTTCTTCTCCTTGTAGATTTCAAACCCCTTAGAAGTTTTAGAATTTTTGGTTTTTTTTACTTCATTTTTATCAGCGCTTAGAAGTTCTAGATTTTCCAATTTCTTTATCCCTCTATTCTCCTTGTGGGATCAAGCCTCCTATTGAACTCTATAATTCTCTCCTTTCTTATCTTCTCCCTTCTCTATTCCTCAATTTACCATCTAATGTATCCAAATATATGCCTTTAAGTGAAATAACTACACTGCAGTTTATTTTTATTTTTGTGTTATGAGAGCCAGTGATTAAATTTTCAGGTTACATCACTTTGTCACAAACTAAATTAATGTGTGCTTGTAAGTTGTAAGTGTTCATAAACCCTTTCAACCGATACAGCCACGAGATTTTAAAATTCAGAGGTTGTATAATAACATGTAGCAATACAGAAGCTAAAAATAAATAAAAAATTGCAAAAGACAAACCTAGAAGAAGCACGCGAGACCATCATGACTAAATCTCCATCGTTAACACCAACAGCACTCAATTTCTCCGCATTCTTGATCTCCCTTCCATTATATAGCAGTTGCTGTTGCTGAAGCGGCACTTGTGTCTGCTCACATAACAAACACGATACATCGCAATCGAGCAAATACATATATATACATAGAGAACGGAAAGAAAAAAGAGATGCCGATCTCACCTCAACTTCAAGTAGAGCTTTCAAGTTCTCGACCTGTCAATGTGATAACCAAAATTTACAGTTAATTCTACAATCGTGCATATCAAGTTATGAAAACTAGGGTCTTCGGAAGGAAGAAGAAGAAGAAACTGGGGATTACGGATTCGTCACGATCGACGTCTAGAGTGACGATTTGTTCATCTGCAGTCATTACAGTGATCTTCATCTTCTTCGTTTCGATTCGATTCGATCCGATCCTTTGAATTCAATGTTCGTGTGCAAACAGTAGCTTATTTCATACGATTGGTTGCTTCTTACGCCTTTTTGCTTTACTTCCCAAAGTATGATAAGTAGAAAAAGTCCTTTTTAACACTTCCTTTAGTCAATGGTTATATAACTTTCTTTAAAAAAAGAGAATTGTGGTTATATATACTTTCTTTAAAAAAAGAGAATTACAATTAAATAAATTTAAATTATTAAAAATATATATTAATAACTTTCTTTAAAAAAAGAGAATTACAATTAAATAAATTTATTAAATTATTAAAAATATATAAATAAGTTTATTAAATTATTAAATATATATATATACAAAATATTTTTGTCTATAATAGGGGTGTTCGCGGTTCGAATTTAGACGATTTGCGGATCGATTTAGACCCGCCCGCATCTATGCGGTTTGGGAAAAAGATAACCCGCAACCGTCCGCATTGCGGCCTATACGGATAGGGTTCGCGGATGTGCGGACGGTTTGCGGATTAGACTTTTTTCTTCAAAAATTTATTTTTGAGCCTTATTTTTTTTTCCATTTTGTAAATATTTATTTTGGACATTTTTCTCCCTATTTTTTAAAATGCTCCAGCATTAATAATTAATGAATTAAAAATACAACAAAATCAAGTCATAATGCAAACAAATCATTCAAAATCTTAAATCAAATCATAAACTAACACAAACATATATTTCAAAATTCTAAACTATAACTTCATATTCATTAACGAATTTAAAATTTCAAATCATACTTCATCCGGGATAAGTTCAGTTATGTAACAATAATAATATGATCAATATTTATTTAGTTTCAGTTGATATAATACTATTAGCAATGTAATGCTAGAGTAAGTTCAAAAAATAAAAGAGTGTTTTGTTTTGGACAAAAATATCTAGGTGGGATATAGAAATAAAATCAATAGTTAAGATAAAAAAAAATATAAATAAATAAATAAATAAAGTGTGGGCGGCTTTTTGAGGGTGCGGGTTATGTTGGAACAATCTTCTGTGTAAATAAAATAACTTGAAATAAAATCAAACAAAATAAATAAATAACATACCAGATTTATTTATCGAATCGAATTAAAATTAAGACCAAGTCGAGTGTGTGACACTCTGTCCTTAAGACAGATTCGCCCCGGTACGGTGCTTACGGTTGAGTGGCGTCTATCTCCCAGGATACAATGATTTTCACAAATTTGTAGAAGCACTTCAAACAAATTTGTCCGACGAACTAGAACCTTGTGTTCTATAACTCTCTAAAATTTATTCCTAATATTTTATATAAAGAATAATGCACTAAAGGAAAATGGACAGCAAATAGACAAGAATTTCAGACTGAATTTTTCGAATCAATCAAAATTGGAATGGGACTGCCTTTATATAGGCTTTGTTGGCACCTATTCAATTTGAATAGAAAATGTATGAAGAAGGGACATACTTATTCCTTTAAAATAAAGAGACACCATGAAAGGTTTGCACCCTTTCATTCAAATGGAAGTTTGACCCTTTCTTTAAAACAAAAAGACATCATGAAAGGTTACACTATTTCATTCAAAATGGAATCTATTTCAATTCACAACCACCTCTTTATAAATTTTCCAACAATCCCCCACATGAATGAAATTGACAGAGAGAAAATGCAACAACATGATGTAAATACAGAGAGTACAGAAATTGAAAATATTCTGCAAATGATAGGTAGCTTTTGGCTTTGAACCTTCCTTTGTGAGATACTATCGGATTTACTAGCTAACCAGTGAACATGATGTCTTGAACTGTTCAGCCGTTTGTGTAAACCAAGACAATAGAACTCACGCAGTATATTTCCAGACACAATTTAGTTTTCATTATTGTGTTCATTTTGGCCCTGAACAACCTGGTCTTTCATGAGTGCTCTAAAGACTTGTAGCCCTTTACAAATCTTATAGAACCGGCCCAGTTCACACTCACATAGGTGATTCTTATGAAAAGTATCCTGCCATACTCCACTAAATTTACCTAGATATAAGAATCATTAAAAGTATTACTTAACCTAAATCGCTGCAGACAGCACTATTTCATCAAAGAAATGGTTAGGAGATAAACTTCCCAGTGATCCTTCTGAGTCATTCACAACTCGGTTGTCCCTTTAAACCTAAATCTTGGGATCTCCAGTCAACTAGGTTGGGTTGCCATTGTGGTAACTCTTATTTAATAGGCTTTAGTCCCATTCCCCTCGATGAATTGTCAACTAACTCTCTTGCTAACCCTTTGGTTAGTGGATCCACTATGTTGTCTTTAGATTTAACATATTCTATGGACATAATTCCATTAGAGAGTAGTTGTCTTACGGTATTATGTCGACGACGAATGTGTCGAGACTTACCGTTATACATATGACTCTGTACTCTACCAATTGTTGATTGACTATCACAATGTATGCATATAGCAGGCACCGGTTTTGGCCATATTGGAATATCTTCAAGGAAGTGGCGAAGCCATTCTGCCTCTTCCCCTGCTTTGTCTAAAGCTATGAATTCATATTCCATAGTAGACCTAGCAATACAAGTCTGTTTGGAATATTTCCAATATACAGCCGCCCCACTAAGAGTAAAGACATACCCACTAGTGGACTTTGAGTCTCTTGTATCCAATATCCAATTTGCATCACAATATCCTTCAAGTATTTCTGGATATCTAGTATAATTAAGCCCAATGTTACGAGTAAATCGGAGATATCTAAGAACTCTTATAATTGCTTTCCAGTGTTCTACTGCCGGATTACTCGTATATCTACTTAATTTACTTACTGCATAAGCTATATCTGGGCGAGTGCAGTTCATCAAGTACATTAAGCTTCCAATAATTTGGGCATACTCTAATTGAGAAATACTTTCCTGTACATTCTTAGAAAGATACAAAGTAATATCTACAGGTGTTCTTACAAGATGATCATCATCTTTGCTGATTTTGTCAAGTATTTTCTCAATGTAATGAGATTGTGACAAAGCATATCCTTCTGATGTTTTGGTAATTTTCATACCAAGCATTACATCAGCAATGCCCATGTCCTTCATGTCAAAATGTTTATTCAACATTTTCTTGGTTGTTTTAATCATGTCATTATTACTACCAATGATGAGCATATCATCTACATAAAAACATACAATGACATAACCTTTATCTGTATTTTTAATAGAAACACATTTGTCACACTCATTAATTTTAAATCCATTTGACATCATTGTCTTGTCAAATTTCTCATACCATTGCTTTGACGCTTGTTTTAAACCATATAATGATTTAACCAATTTACACACTTTCTTTCATTTTCCTGTAACAGAAAACCCTTCTAGTTGTTCCATGTAAATTTCTTCATTTAACTCACCATTTAAGAAAGCGGTTTTTATATCCATTTGATGAATTTCTAAATTGTATAAAGATGCAATGGCAATTAGCATTCTAATGGATGTTATTCTAGTAACCGGTGAGTATGTGTCAAAGTAATCAAGACCTTATTTTTGTCTAAACCCTTTGACCACAAGTCTTGCCTTGTATTTGTCAATTGATCCATCCGCTTTCAATTTTCTTTTGAAAATCCACTTATACCCAATAGGTTTACAACCTGGTGGCAAGTCCACTAATTCCCAAGTGTGATTTTGCAAGATGGATTCAACTTCACTGTTGACAACTTCTTTCCATAAAAGAGTTTCAGGACTGGACATAGCCGCTTTAAAAGTTAAAGGCTCATTTTCTAACAAAAATGTTAGAAAATCTGGACCAAAAGATTTTGAGGTTCTAGCACGTTTACTACGCCTATGTTCTTTTTCCTCATTTTGGTCTAACTCTTGCCCTTGATCATGTTCTTGATCATTACTAATAATAGTATCAAAAGATCTCTTATCATTACTAGTCTCTTGTCCAGTTTTATTTGGAAATACATGTTCAAAGAATGATGCATTTCGAGACTCAATAATAGTATTTACATGCATTTCGGAATGTTCTGATTTATGAATCAAAAATCGATATGCACTGCTATTCTTGGCATAACCAATGAAAATGCAATCAATAGTCTTAGGACCTATCTTAGTCTTTTTAGGACTAAGAATAGCCATTTTAGTCAAACACTCCCACACTTTTAAGTATTTGTAGGATGGTACTCTACCATGCCACATTTCATAAGGTGTTTGATTCACTTTCTTTCGGGGTACTTTATTTAAAATATAATTAGCAGAAAGTATTGCTTCCCCTCATAAGTTCTGAGATAATCCAGAACTGATTAACATGGCATTCATCATTTCTTTAAAAGTCATATTTTTCCTTTCAACAATTCCATTTTACTGAGGTGAGTAAGGAGCGGTGGTTTGATGAATTATTCCATGTTATTTACAAAACTCACCAAAAGGTGATTCATATTCATCACCTCTATCACTTCTAAGTTTTTTGATTTTCTTACCAAGTTGATTTTCAACTTCATTCTTATATTGAATGAAAGTTTCCAAAGAATCATCCTTGGTTCGAATTAAATAAACATAACTATATCTAGTATAGTCATCTATAAAAGTGATAAAATACTTTTTCCCACCTCTAGTTTGAATTGATTTAAAATCACAAATGTCACTATGAATTAATTTAAGTGGTTCCGTACTTTTTTCAATTGAATGAAAAGGAGTTTTAGATAATTTTGCCTCAACGCAAACTTCACATTTATAATTTGAATCAATGTTAAATTCAGGTAAACATTCCATATTAATTAATCTACGCAAAGATCCATGATTAACATGTCCTAGTCTACCATGCCATAAATTTGAAGACTCAAGCAAGTAAGAAGAAGATGTAGTATTATTAATAACTGAGGGTACAACGGTCATTACATTTAACTTGAAAAGGCCATTAGACATATAACATTTTCCTACATACATCCCGCTTTTGGTAAGTACAAACTTGTAACTTTCAAAAACTAGCCTAAACACATTCTTACTCAACAAAGATCCGAAAACTAAATTCTTGCGAATGTCCGGTACATGCAACACATTGTTGAGAGTGAGTTCATTTCCAGATGTCATCTTGAGTACAATATTTCCTTATCCTTCAACTTTGGAAGTTGAGGAGTTGCCCATAAAGAGTTGTTCACCATTGTCCACTATAGAATAAGATGTGAACATCTTTTTGTCGGCACAAATATGGCGAGTAGCACCAGTGTCCACCCACCATTCTTTAGGATTTCCGACAAGATTTGTCTCGGAAACAACTGCAGAAAGATTGATATCATCTATACCATTGGAAATATTGTCCACTTCAGTTATGTGGGCTTGAGCAAGCTTCTTGCTTGTTCTTCTTTTGCTTTTGCCTTTGCTACAGCAATCTTTGGCCCGATGTCCCTCATTGTCACAGATATAACGTTTGCCATGAAACTTGTACTTTTTACTATCCCCCCCTTTAGAGCCTTGTGATGAACTTTCTTCAGAAGACTTTCGTTTCTTGATTTTTGAAGCATGTTCCACCACATGTGCCTTAGACTCCATAGGATGCTTACCAGCCCGCTTTTCATAATTGCGGTTGTCCTCATCAATTCTCAAACGCACAATTAATTCGTCTATAGAAATTTCTTTGCGCTTGTGTTTGAGGTAGTTCTTGAACTCCTTCCAGCCTTTTGGTAATTTTTCAATTAAGGCTGCAACTTTGAAGGATTCACTGAGAGACATGTCTTCTGCGTAAATGTTATGCATAATGAGTTGGAAATCTTGAGCTTGGCTGATCACAGTTTTTGAATCAACCATTACAAAATCCAAGAATCTGCCAACCACAAATTTCTTTGAGCCGACATATTCCGTTTTGTACTTTTTCTCCAACAATTCCCAAAGTTCCTTTGCTGTCTTGATTGGACTGTAGACGTTGTATAATGTGTTATCAAGTCCGTTCAAGACGTAGTTCCGGCAAAGGAAAATCGGTATGTTTCCAAGCGTCAATCGCAGCAACCACTTGCCGGTCGGTTTCATCCTCTTTCTGGATAGGAGCAGCTTCACGGAGAAAACGAGCCAGGTTCGGAGTTGTAAGATAGAACAACATTTTCTGTTGCCATCTTTTAAAGTCAGTTTCTGGGAATTTCTTTGGCTTCTCTCTATGATTTATTGGTACTGTCATCATAGGAGAGGGGATTGGTGCAATTGCAGCCACCACAATAGTACTTGTTTGGGCATTTGTTTCAGTAGCCATCAATTCTAATTTATAAAACAAATTTATAATTAAAATTTTCACTACACAAAAAATTAAACCAAATTCACAGAATTAAATTCTGTAAAAATAAAAGAAACAAGAATGTAACTTTTATTTTCCAATTAATTTGAAAATAAAATAAATTTTTATTTAAACAAATTAATTTTACACAGAAAATTAAATTATGTAAAATAAAAGAAATAAAAACTATAACTTTTATTTTTCAATTAATTTGGAAATAAAATAAAATTTTATTTAACCAAATTAATTCCACACAAGAAATTAAATTCTGTAAAATAAAAAAAAAGAAAATAACTTTTATTTTTCAATTAATTTGAAAATAAAATAAAATTTTATTCAATCAAATTAATTCCACACAGAAAATTAATTTCTGTAGCACTTCAATAATTAAAATACTAAAACAGAATTTTAATTAATGAAAACTCAGAAAATAATTTCTAAAAAAAATAAAATTAATTTCCTGACAAAATTCCACAAAAATATATTCTGAATTGTTAATGACACCAGTATCGTACTACTAGTTGTTGTCAAAGAAAAGAGACAGTATATTACTACTATCTGTCAAATAGCATATAATCACTATTTATTTTTCCAACCAGAATATTATTTTATAAATCCACAAAAAATAATTTTCTTCCGAAATTATTTACGAAGAATGGAAAAAAAAGGAAACAAACGAAAAATTATGTAAACAGAATAATTCGAAAATTCATTTTATAGTTTATTTTAAAACTTATATCCATGACTTTATTTTATATTGTTCATGATATACTAATTAAAATTATATACATGTATATATATTTTTATTTTTCTTGAAGCCAATCGTAAAAATTTATATGAAATATATTTGTAAAATTTTTTAATGTTATAATTAATAAGCGCCCCCCTCTGATTTGATTTATTGGCTCCGCCACTGAATACAATAATCTATTACATGATAGGCATAAAAAAATATCAATAAAACAATTTCCCGTTACATGATCATCATTCAAATACGTATTAAAAATTAATTTAGTAAAAAAATAAAAATATAAAAGTATAAAAGATTTATCATTTTTATATAATTTTATTTTTGGTTAGTAGAAATAATTTTTAAAAATTTTAAAATAATGTTTGACATTTATTTTTATCAAACTAGTTTATATTTTGTTTTGGGAAGATGGTAAAAAGTGACTTTTTGACTTTTAACCAAGCTTTTGGTTTTTTTAGACAAATGATTTGAGAAGTTGGTAAAAAGTGACTTTTGACTTTTTTTGATTAATGTTTGTTTATGATGTCAAATCATAATAAAATGACTAAACTACCCCCATTTATTTAAAATATTTATAACTTCACATATGTAACACATTTTGATCCATGAGAGGTAAAATTATAATTTCACCGTTGGCTAAACACCAACATCCCAAATGAAAAAAAAGACAAAAAAGCCAACTTTTAGCTTTTGTTATTAACCAAAAAAAGTGACTACAAACCATGTTGCCAAAATAGGCCTTTATCAAATTGACAACTTTGCTCTTGAAATAAAGCAACAATGTTTTCAATTGTCTTTATTTAAAACAATATTCAAAATTTGAGGTCAAATATATCATATTTAAAAAGTTAAAAATTAAAATAACACAAAATTCAAATTACAAGAATAGTAAATGTAATTCGGTTTTATCAAAAATAGATTTGCATGAAATACAAAAAAAAAAAAAAAAAAAAAAAAAAAAAAAAAAACTGTTGATGATCATTGCAAACATGAACATAGGATGATATAGCCTGATGAATAGACCTTTGAATGGATATGTTTTGGATTTTGGAATATGTGTGACAAAAAACCGCATCCCTACTGATGTATAAATTTTTGAAAGGAAACAAAAAAAAAATACCATGATGGAATAGGAAGAAAACAAACACACCATTACAAAATAAAAAAATTGCATAATTTTCAAAGTCGTAATGCTAATAATACATTTTGAATAAAAAAGGAATACAAGATTTAATAATATTGAATGGGATTGAGGGATAAAGGAACATATTAGGTATAGACATAACATAACCTCTTTAATACATTTTGAATGGAGGAATAATGGGAGGAAATTAAAATATTCTTAAATAGGCCTCAATCAAATGAGTGCCAAAGAAGAAGAAAAAAAAGTAAAAATAAAAATCTGCCCATGGTTAGGAAGGTGAGTGAAACTATTTAACAAGATAAATGTAATAGAAACTAACAAATATAGAAATAATTAAAATTTAAAATGAAGAATGCAACCCATTTGATAATAGAATATGTGTAATATTAATTAATCTGTAAAACAAGATTTATTCCTTATACCACATGGCAGTCAAATCTGTCATTAAAATGAACAATTCAGAAAGATAGATTTTTTTTTTTCTTCTGGTTTGTAATACAATGGTAAATATGATCAGATTGATCAGTCAACCTCATCATTTCGAAATATATATTTTTAGCTGTGTAAATTATTCAAATGATTTTAAGTCAAAAATAAAAAGATTTAAAATAGTTCTCATGCCTTTTTTTGCCAAAAAAAAAAAAACCTCACACCCCCTATTTTCAGTATACGAAACAAAAGTGAGACAGTGTATATGGAGGTTTTGGTCCGTCTCTTGAAACCCTTACTCTTCGTCGGATCTCATTCTGCAAATCTCTTCGCCTAACCTCTCTCTGTCTCTGTCTCTGTCTCTATACATACATATACTTTTTCTATATTTGCACACATCTCCATTAGATCTATTCATTAGTAGCCACAGAGCGAATTCGAATCGAATCGAATCGCTTTTGTTTCATGGCTTCCCCTGGAAATCCAAACCAAGCAAGAGTGCCATTTGAAAACCACAAGTTCTTCAAACCCTCACCAAACCTTCCCTCTCAAACCCCTACAACCAATTTGAGTTCTTCACCATTCACACCTCCATCTTATCCTCCACTCCCTTCTGCTTCTTATCCTCCACCCACTGGCCCTTATTCATACCCTCCTCAGACCACCCAGACCCAGTTTCATCACCCTCAATTCCACATCCCTACTCCCTTTTCTCAGCAAGATCATATTCTCCATCTTTCTAACTTGCACCAGAGATCTGTCTCTTATCCTACGCCCCCTCTTCAACCCCCTCCCCAAAACACGAATGCCGGGGCGAGACTTATGGCTCTGTTGAGTGCCCCGCCATCGGGTCTTGAGATTGGACACCAACCCATGTTGCCACTGCCTCCAATTCAGCCTTCCTCTTCTGGGTCTTCTGAATTTTCCATTCCCCCCAATGTTCCCATGTTGAATTCGGTTCCTTTGGTGCCAAATGTCAATCCGGGTTTGATTCCGCATTCAGTTCCCATGCATATGCTGAGCAGCAAGCTCCCAAAGGGCCGCCATTTGATTGGCGATCGTGTCGTGTACGATATTGATGCTAGATTGGAAGGTGAGGTTCAGCCACAGCTCGAAGTTACTCCGATAACCAAGTATGTATCGGATCCTGGACTTGTTTTGGGCCGCCAAATTGCAGTCAATAAGACGTACATTTGCTATGGACTGAAGATGGGAGCTGTCCGGGTCCTTAACATAAACACGGCATTGAGATCATTGCTTAAAGGTCTAACCCAGGTTGGTTGGCATTGAAAAGTTTCCATAGATTATGTTGTTTGTTCATAGAGTAAATCACTTAGCGTATTTGCATGAATTGCTTTATTTTGTCGGGACTAAATTGAGTTTGGTTTTTTATTTTTTATTTTTCTGGGATTGTCATGTACATGAAGATATATTATTAATTTTATTGCATTTGTTAATTTGTTATGGGAATGGTTCATGCGCTGCCTTGATCTTCGCTGTGAAGTGTAGAATTTAATATAAAAATACTTTTGTGATTATGTGTTTGTGGTTTAAGGGTTTTATTATCTTATGATTCTATATTTGGTGAGATCCCTTGACTGGGGTCCATATTTGGATCATTATTACCAAATTGAACTATTGAACAGTGATATGTCCAATGATTTTGATGCCAAGGATAGAAGAAGATGTTTGAAGAGACAAGAGTGATTGATTGCCAAGTCCTTGGCAACCCTATGATAAGTTTCCATGCTTGTGGTGGTTGACTTTGATGAGTGAAAGCTATTGAATAGACATTTGTGTCACTTAATGATTCAGATTTCAATGTTAGAAGTAGTTATATTGCCTGATTAACTATCTGTGTGTGTGTGCAGTCTTTTAGATTGCCAAGAAGCTATTGCAAATGCCTGGGTTGGTAGGTACCAATAATAAATGAAAATATGATAATTCATTACCTTTAGGATTCTTGCAAAAAGCTCAAGTACTTGAAGTAGTCGGAGAATCAATAATTAAAAATAAAATAAAACTAAACTCCGCAGGCCTTATCTGTTGTAGCAGTAAGAAGGCTTTGTTGAGTTTGACTATGACCTTATCCTAACTATTTTTGCTTGGATATAAGTATAATCCATTTTGCCATTATGGATTTATTTGCATATGAGTTAAATAATCTTTGATGCTTGCTATTCAGCTTACGTGACTCTTTTAGCATATCTGATGTGCACATTCTATTAAACCATACACACCAGTGCTTGACGTTTATCTGGCTTTCCAAATGATGGTCCATTTTATTTACAGGCTAAGTTAAGCACCAAGCTTGTTCACCCTGGTTAACGTTTTCTCTTTACAAGCAAGGATACAATAGTGATTTTCTATTTAAAACTAGTTTTTAACGCGTGCTGTGGGCGGGTTGTTTTTGAAAATTACTTTTATGTAATTGTGATATGAATAATTAAACACAATAATAATAAATGAGAAATTGTGAAAGTACGGAAGAATACTTGTACATTAAAATTATAAAAGTATTTCCAAGTTTAAAAAAATAAAGAGGAAAATAAATTCTCGAAAGTTTGCATCTCTTTAATTTATTAATTCATGGCTTTTGAAATATATATTCATAAGGCCATGATCTCAGTTAAGGCTAAAAAAAATAAAAGAGAAGGAAAAAACCAAAAACACAATTGTTGATGTGTGTTATGGATATGTATTAACTGACAACTGTATGAATCTCTTATATTATTTATCCAATCCTATCAAATATAAGACAATATCACTGTAGTTAGTTCTCCACCCATCCTTCATATAAGGAGTTCCTACACATCTAACAATAATATTTTATAGGTGCTTCAGAGAATTGAAGTAAAAGTTTTTTCTTCTAAAAATATTTCAAGATACCTCCGCAGCCACCACTAAATCCCCACCCTACCCAAATGCACCAAAAAATTCGGAAACCTCCTACAATCCAACGGGAACACGCCTTACTGCTTTTAGCTTCGATTTATTTATTTATTTTGATTGGCACTAGGGTGTATGGATCAAAGCCAGAGACATAAATTAGTTAACCATGTCGAAACTCTGAAGTTACAATAGAGGAGATGGGCGCGTTGCAGCCATAAAAGAAAGAGCGGAAGAGGCAAGTTCTTGAGAAAGTGATTCAATCAAATGAGTTATATTGTATAAGAAGATAAGGAAAGACCACAGTCATCTTTTTCTTCATATTCCCACTTTAACAATTGGTTGAGTACATTGCATGCTAGAAACCATACGATAAGCATTGATCTTATAAACCCCTCCGTTCAACAACAAATACAATTAAGATGCATCACTACAACCTCAAAAAAAAAGTTTTCCAACTCTAATAGCTTTGCAATTTCCTCGTACAACCAATAACTACTAAAATCAATTAAATAAATCCAAGATAGAAAAAAAGAATCTAGAAATACAAATCATTAATCCAAATAGTGGATGCACATAACAAAAATTAAGATTAAATTAAAACGGCAATAAAAAATAATTAAAACACACGTAAGTATGCTATAACTCATGGACACTGTGTTGGCAATAATGACACAATATCAGCTTCTACAATACTTATTCAAATTCTACATATACACACTATATTAGCATCAGGGGAGATACAGAGAGAGATAGAAGGAAATAAGAAGACCTGTTTGCTTGGAAAGCTAGACAGTTAGCCCGTTCATAACAAAGGGAGAGGCATCAATATCATTTCATTTGTAATGGTGCTGTTAATGTCTTATTAATTAACACAATTATATTATTCAAATTTCACATGCCATTTAAAAGGAGAGAAATCCAAAGGTTAAGTGAGTCTCTAATATCTTGAGGTGTCTTGAGAGAGAGATGCCAATTCAGTTCCACTTGGTGAATTTTTAGATGGACAAATGGTGAACTTTCAAAGCCTGCTAGTGAAAGTCACAATTTTACGACATATATTATATGACATGATATATTTGGGGGGAAGAAAAATAACTGAGCAACTAATATGTCACTCTGTGTAGGAAACTAGATTGATATCAGGATAGAGTCCACCATCTCTTAAACAAGATTGCTGATGTTTTTGATATGTTGGCTGCCACTTCTATTTGAAAATAATATTCTATTTTGTCATCACATTACTGATATATCCCGGTATACTGGCGATATTTAAAACTATGGGACTGACCCATTTTTGTGGCGCCATTTTTGATTTCCTCAACTAATCTTCTTGTATTTTTGAATATATGATATTTCTCTTTTATTCTATATGACATCTCCATAGAAATGTTAGATCTGCAGTGGATCATAACCATCTGGATGGGATTCTATATTAAGTGGTAGTTCATTACCTTCCCTTGGTGTTAATTTTATTAGCAGAGTGCACATAACTGGAAAATTCTTACCAAATCACTTATATCATTATGGGTTTATTTATTATATTCATTTAAATAATGTCTTTTTTTCTACCAGAGGGTCACAGACATGGCTTTCTTTGCTGAGGATGTTCACCTTTTAGCTGGGTAGTGTTCTATCTCTCTATTCATCAATTCTTTCTTAAAGTTCGGCTTTGGGTTATGATAATGTGTTTTGGTGCAGTACAAGTGTAGATGGGCGTGTTTATGTATGGAAGATTACTGAAGGTCCAGATGAAGAAGATAAGCCACAAATTACAGGAAAGTTAGTTGTTGCCATTCAGATAGTAGGAGAAGGGGAATCTGTTCTTCCACGGGTTTGTTGGCACTGTCACAAGCAAGTACGCAATTTTTCATCCCTGAAGTCATAGTTGCAGCTTCTGTCTCTGCCCCCTTTTTTGGCTTGGTTATTATTTTTACTTTCTTTTTGGGGTTTATTTTTTTGTGTTGTTTTTGTTAGCATGCAAGTCATCTGATTTGCCACTCCTTTACTTGACATTTGTTGCTATTTTTTTTATTTTTTTTACAGGAAGTTCTAGTAGTTGGGATTGGAAAAAGTGTTCTGAGAATCGATACTATGAAAGCTGGAAAAGGTGAAGTATATTCGGCAGAGGTACCTCTCAAGTGTCCTATTGACCATCTGATTGATGGGGTCCAATATGTTGGTAAACATGAGGGAGAAGTGACTGATTTGTCAATGTGCCAATGGATGACTACCCGTTTGGTTTCTGCTTCAACGGATGGCACGGTTTGTTTCTCTCTTGATAGTTTTGCATGTTATGGTTTGATGTGATTTATGCCGTTAGATGTTGTGTGTGTATACATATTTTCCTGTGTATCCTCTCGTATTAGGAATCAAGGAACTTGTACTGAGTTCCCATTTGGTGCAGGGGGTGAGTATTCGTTAGGTATTGGAAGCTAAGTAGAGTTGGTTTTGTAATCTTCCTTTCTTACCTTTGGAAGAAAAATGGAAGGAATCACTAATCGACTCAATACCTCATATGAACATTATGTCTTTCATTTTGTAACAATTTGTAGTTGTTATAAATTAGTAGTCGGATACCCTTCCATTACTCACATTGGCTATATACAATACCCATCACGGCTATATTATAACAAAAAGAAATGAAAAGTAGAACTAAAAAGTATGTTATTTGTAACTCCTCACTTTGTAAGAATGGGGGAAATGGGTACACAACGGAAACAAAGCTTTCATTCTAAGAATCTAATGTTAGGTGTGTGTGCCTCTGCGCACTTGCATGTGTGTGTATATGTAATAATTTATATTAGTTATAGTTGTTATGGATCATAAATGTTATATGTTGCCATCATTGAAGTGTACCTTTGATATTCATATAATAGGGCGAGTTTTTGCCTGGATCTATGGTTGGGGGTGTTTTGTTACCAAAATTCCTTTCCCTTTTTGTATGAGTTGGTAGTGGATAAAATTTGCTTATGTTGGAGAGTGCGTAAGAATGGAGAATTGGGGTGGTTTGTGATGTTGAAGTATGATCTCTTCTGCTGATTATATTTGGATTCTCTTTGAGTTTTTAAGTGGTTTTCTTTTGCTAGAGTCTAGACAGATTACATTATTTATGTATGTTTTTTATTAATTGATACTCCATTCTGTTCTTAATTTGACTTGATGTAGGTAATGTCTTTCCCATTCCCCTATGCATAAACATATGCATGTCAATGTATTTCCTTTTGAGTTGATATTCTTGAATGTGTATGCGATAAATATTTCTTTTTGAACAGATAAAAATTTGGGAGGACCGCAGAGCACAACCGCTTGTGGTACTAAGGCCACACGATGGTCAACCTGTTAATTCTGTTACATTCTTGACTGGCCCTCACCACCCGGATCACATTATTCTTGTGACTGCGGTATATACTTTCAGAGCATTTATCATTTTGTTTTGACAAATTCATTGAGTAGGTTTCCTAACCTCGCTAAGTCGGCTTGGATGTTAGATTTCTCTCTCTTTGTGGAATTGCATGTGCCATTATGGCTTTTATTTTGATTTTTATGCAACGGCATTATTAAGAAATTCTGATTTTTTAAAGGGTTCCTATTTTCTTTGATGTGCTTTTCAACAGGCTTTTATGTGATATGTGTTTATTTTATATAAATTTTGAAAGAATGTTTGCAGGGTCCACTGAATCGGGAAGTGAAGGTATGGGCCTTGGAAAGTGAAGAAGGCTGGCTGCTCCCTAGTGATGCTGAATCATGGCATTGTACCCAGACATTGAACTTGAAGAGTTCAGCTGAATCTCGAGTTGAAGAGGTGTTCTTCAATCAGGTTGTGGCCTTGTCTCAAGCAGGGATTTTGTTATTAGCAAATGCCAAGAAGAATGCTATATATGCTGTACACTTAGAATATGGTCCTAATCCATCAGCAACCCGAATGGATTACATTGCAGAGTTTACTGTCACCATGCCGATTTTGAGTTTTACAGGGACCAGTGATTTATTACCTCACGGTGTACACAATGTTCAGGTTTATTGTGTCCAGACGCAGGCTATTCAGCAGTATGCTTTGGACTTATCCCAGTGTTTGCCACCCCTGCTGGATGATGTGGTGTCAGAGAGGTTAGACTCAAGTGTTTTGCGCAACGTAACTAGTACTGAAGGATTTGCTACCATGGAGCCTTATGTAAGTAAGCCTACTGAGATTCAAATGTCTAGTTCAGCACCCAAAGCATCTATACATGACACTGGCTCTGAGAGTGCACTTACAGTGAGGCATCCATTGCACTCTCCTTCCATGGAGGCCGCCACTTCAGCGGAATTCACTACTTTGAGTATGGAATCTAGACCTACTCCAATTTCAAATGTATCTAGCAATGATGATATTCCATGTGTTGCATCACCTCCTCTTCCTCTGAGTCCAAGGGTGTCTAGAAAACTCTCTGGTTTTAGAAGTCCAACAAATGGTTTTGAGCCTGGTCTTGTGCTTGATGATAGTGGTGGAGATCAAGAAGTTAGTGAATATTCAGTTGATAGGCAAACGGATAGCATTCATACAAACTTTTCTGATGTCCCTTCCTTGGATGATGATTCAAGAAACAATGAAAACAAGGTTGCACGGGATGATATTTCCTCTTTTCTCAATCATCCTATGAATTTCAAGCACCCAACTCATCTGGTAACTCCATCTGAGATATTGAGAGCTGCTTCATCCACTGAAACTGCCCTTGTTGCAGAACAGAAGACTAAGGAAGAGCCAAACATTCAAGACGTGGTTATCAACAGCAATGTGCACAATGTCGAGGTGGAGGTTAAGGTTGTGGGTGAAACTGGATTTAGTCAGAAAAATGAAATTGGCTCTCTGCGAAAAACTCACAATCTTGTTCCAGAAAATAAAGTTAAAGCATTTTGCTCTCAGGCCTCAGATCTTGGTATTGAGATGGCCAGAGAGTGTGGTGCATTATCATCTGAAATGTATATTGCAGAGGAATCTCATCAACTTAATGGAGCTAATGTAAGTGAGGAATTAACTCAACCTTCAAATGCCGAGGATGAAGTCCATGACTTCACAAGGGATATCTCTAGAAAGAATGCAAATTCAGCTATGCCTGCAACAGTTTCACAGCCAGTGGCGCAAATCACGAAAGCAAAAAAGCAAAAGGGTAAGAACACTCAAGGATCATGTCCATCGTCGCCATCCCCAAGTGCTTTCAATTCAGCAGATTCGTCCAGTGAGCCAGGTGTTAGTTCAAGTATTCCTTCTGCGGAAGCTGGTTTTTCACAAATTATGATCATGCAGGAGATGCTTAATCAGGTCATTGCTTTGTGCCTGGCCTGTGTGAATTTGGATTAATGCATTTATCAATATATAGATTTTTATTTTTATCCCTGCATTTTGTTTGCTGCATGTGAATGGGTATAATTTAGGGACTGACACCACTTTTTGGTAGAGAAAAACTTTGGTCATTTCGAAACACTTAAAAAATAGAAACTTTCTATGGGTAATATCATTTTGTTTGTTTAATTTTACAGGTGTGCCCTGTAATTTTGATATTTCTTGTGATAGTCTCTGTTGAAGGGCTTTTCATTTTCTTTTGGACTATTGATGATCGCCAAATAACCTACTGCTGTCATGCTAATGGCTATGGACATGTTTATGTAGTCCCCTCCACTGGTTATGTTTCTTATCGTTCTTGGATGCAAGAAACTGCAACTACTCCCATTGTCCATGCAGATTCTTCTGTACTAGTTGTAGTTGTTCCATGTTCAGCTATATATTATCTGTTGGCAAATTATGTTTAGTCCAATAAATTAGTATTAATTTTACAGGTATGCCTTGTAATTTTGATATTTCTTGTGATATTTTCTGTTGAAGGGCTTTTTAGTTTCTTTTGGACTATTGATGATCACCGAATAACCTACTGCTGTCATGCTAATGGCTATGGACATGTTTATTTAGTCCCCTTCTCTGGTTTTGTTTCTTATCGTTCTTGGATGCAAGAAACTGCAACTACTTCCATTGCCCATGCAGATTCTTCCATACTAGTTGTAGTTGTTCCATGTTCAGCTATATATTATCTGTTGGCAAATTATGTTTGGTCCAATAAATTAGTATTGTGTTGTCTAATAAGTTAGATTTCACTACATGTAACATTACATTATAGTTCTTCTTGTTTATTATTGATTAAAAAAAAACACATGTTTATTATGCACACTCTCAATGTTGTTTGTATGGACTATTATTGTCTTTTTTGTTAATTTCTTGCAGTTAACAACTATGCAAAAAGAAATGCAGAAGCAGATGTCGGTGATGGTTACTGTCCTAGTCACTAAAGAAGGTAAAAGGCTGGAGACTGCCCTAGGGAGGAGCATGGAAAAAGCTGTCAAGGCCAATACTGATGCGTTATGGGCTCATTTTCAGGAAGAGAATGCGAAACAAGAGAAATTAGTTAGAGAGCGTACACAGCAAATAACAAGTTTGATCACTAACTGCATAAATAAGGACTTGCCAGCTATGGTGGAGAAAACAGTGAAGAAGGAATTGGCTGCAGTTGGACCAGCTGTAGCTCGTGCAATTTCTCCGGCCATTGAAAAAACAATATCTACGGCTATTACAGAGGCTTTTCAGGTTGATATTCTAAAAGATCCAAGTCTTATACTAGGGATGTAGTCTTGTTGAGAACTAATTGATGCCCATGTGGTGCAGAGAGGAGTTGGTGATAAGGCAGTGAATCAACTGGAGAAATCAGTTAATTCAAAACTTGAAGCTACTGTTGCTAGGCAGATCCAAGCACAATTTCAAACTTCTGGCAAGCAAGCTCTTCAGGTATGCATAAGTTTATAGTGCTAGGATTTTACTGATTGAGTGTGGATGTATTTTAGATGACATTATGGAGCAGTATGGAGAGCATTATTGACGCTGAAGTGATTCTTTCTATTATGTTATTATGACCTTACAAATTCTGGATTTCATTTTTATGCTGAATGATCTGTTATTCACTTCTTGCTATATCATTAACTATCTTAAAGGTTATTGAGGGATTTTGGTTCGTTTGAGACTTTGTTGATTCTCAGAGCCCTTTTTCTTGTAATCTTTAGATATTAAGGTCTCTCTCTCTGTCTCTCTCTCTTAATGTGATGTGCATGAGACACTTGGTGAATGTCATATTTTAAATTATCATTTTTATTTTGACAAAGCAAATGTAGTGTCTGGCTCTAGTTCTTCTTGAGTATGTTATGCATGTATATGGGATTAATTGATGTTTTGTAATTGTTGTTCAATAACTTCAAAATTTTTATGGGTCTCTCTCTCTCTCTAGCAGTATCTGACCTGAGGAGATTGTATGCCTTACTAAATGAATCTGGAAATCTTGATCTGACTGTTTGAGCGATTCAATATGCAGGATGCATTGAAGTCTAGTTTGGAAGCTTCCGTTATTCCTGCCTTTGAGATGTCATGCAAAGCCATGTTTGAGCAAGTTGATGCTACCTTCCAGAAAGGAATGATTGAACATGCAACTGTAGCTCAGCAGCAGTTTGAGTCCACTCATTCTCCACTGGCACTTGCTTTAAGGGTATACATTCCTTTGATATTATTATATCAGACAAATGTGCTTCCCTGTCCTGTGTTTTGTTGCTATCTTACCTATGTTCATGTTTCTTCTATCATGAAATTGCTTGTGTGATCATAGACAAGTATTATCCCAGTCAAATAATTAACTGCAGGACACTGTACTGTACATGTTACTCCGTCTGAATGTTGTTGACTTCACTAATTTTATGCTTTTTTATCCAATTATTTAGGATGCCATTAATTCAGCATCATCTGTGACTCAAACTTTAAGTGGGGAACTGGCTGATGGTCAGAGAAACTTGGTAGCTCTTGCTGTTGCAGGAGCAAATTCAAAAGCCGTAAATCCCTTGGTTACCCAACTAAACAATGGACCTTTGGGTGGCCTCCATGATAAGGTTTGTTGTGTTTGTTTCTCTGCAAGAAAGCATTGAACTCGAAAAACAGTGTCAGATATTATTTGCTCTCCCAAAGCTGTTCTGATTTCGAGTATTCTGTCTGTGTAATAGATTGAGGCACCTTTGGATCCAACCAAAGAGCTATCTAGATTGATATCTGAACGTAAATATGAGGAAGCATTCACAGCAGCCCTACAAAGAAGTGATGTTTTCATTGTATCTTGGTTATGCTCTCAGGTATATTTTATATGCACACTATCAAATTGGACAGTTGTGATTAGGATTGTGATGACTAATTTTTTTTTTTTTGATCAGCAAAGAAAAATTTCATTAAACAGCATGAAATTAAAAGTACAGGAAGATGACATGCATTGAGAGAGATTCGGAAGTATAAAAATACCCTTACTACTGCTACTCGATTGTGATGACTAATTGACATCACAAGATATAAACCATGGGTTGCTTTGTGGTCTTCAACCATCTTTTATATTATTTTTTATTTATCTTATTGCCTGTGTACTTTCCCAATGGAGGATTGTCTGCTTGAAATGTTTTACAATTCAGCTTTATGGTGTGATTTTAATCATCGATGATAAAGCTTCATTGATACACAAAGCCTAGCTACTTTGAAAGTTGATGGAAAGTTTATATGCCTAGGGGTAGTGTTTCTTGGATTTTCTGTTTCTCAGCTGTTTGGAGCAGTTGGAACTGGGTATACATAAATCTTATGTCTTTGATTTTTTTGTACTCCACCAGGTTGATTTACAGGGGATTTTGTCAATGATTCCTCTCCCATTGAGCCAAGGAGTACTTCTATCACTTCTGCAGCAGTTGGCCTGTGATATCAGCAAGGATTCATCCCGGAAGTTGGTTTGGATGACCGATGTGGCGGTTGCAATAAACCCAGCTGACCCAATGATAGCAATGCATGTGCGGCCAATCTTTGAGCAAGTCTATAAGATATTAAACCATCATCGAAGCCTTCCTACAACTTCCGGTACTGAGATTTCCAGTATCCGACTTGTCATGCACGTCATCAACTCCATGCTGATGACCTGTAAATGATATTATATCCAATCATCCATTTTACTATAGTGAGAAATGATATATCAGGGACGACTGATGTAATAGATGGGGTTTGTACAAAGGTGTAGGGATTTTTGATGAGAAGGGTACTGAATGTGCAGAGTTGGTTTTTCTTGAATGTATCTGTCAAAAGGAAAACATTGTGGAAACTCTGTAACTTTTCAGGTTCTTAGTCTGGTTTTTCTTTCAGTGAGATTTTGTTTTTGGAACTTGGAATTTTGTGTTTTGCAAAACTCTCTTAAGTTCATGTATTTGTTCAAAACAAAAAATTTCATCATCTCTTTTGATTTATGACTTCCCGCGTTGCATGTGTATTCACTTTGTTTTTGTTTTTGTTTTTGGTTTTGGTCTATAAAAAATAAAAAAAATAAAAAAATCATATAAAGTATGTGTTTATTGTGGTAATTATTATTATTTTTTTATTACCTAATTTATATTTGTTTGATATCCTGATTATTCGTTTGGTATGGGACTACTATACTAAAATAATCGCAAAAAGATAAAGTAAGTTAAAAAATTAATAAAACAAGATGTTTTATCTAAATCATAATTATTTTATTTTTTTCACAAAAGTTAAAAAAATTTATCCTAAACAGAACGTTTTAATTTCAAGTTAAAATAATTAAAAAGTCAATTAACACTCCAAAGGAAGCCTGAGTAATGGTAGTAATCTAACAAATCAGATTTTTTTTATTATTATTAACTGATGTGAAATGTTTATAAAATTTGTTCGGTAATGTTAGAGGCTCTAACAATTTTATTAAAAATTTTAAACATGAGTGAATTTCATGCGAATCTTACAGCATGTGAGACATTTAGTAAAAATTTTAATAATTTTTTTAAAAGTTCTAACATTTTTAAAATTTGTTTGTATAGTATTTTTCTAGAAGAAAACCAGAGTCAACAGTCTATGTTACATTAATGGATCAACAAAGCATTCATTCTCAGAAGCTATTACTTGATCCCACCGTTCAAACTACTGAATTTTCAGCCCCAATCTCTCTCTCTCTCTCTCTCACATTTCATTCTCCCATCTTTCAGTCAAAAGTCTATTTTCCCCAGAATGTAGCACTCAAGCTGACGTCATGACATATGTACCCAACAAAAATTGATAAGAATCGGTCTCTTTTGGAATGGAGTTTATAAGCCAAATTATTGATTTTTAACATTCTCTTTAAATCACATTATTTCTTTGTTTTTTTTTTTTTAATATTTTTTTTTGGTAATAAAGTCAAAAAAATCAACTTATTAGCATTCAAAATACTGTTACTAGTCACTCTAATATATGGCAATATATGAACATGTGGGAAGACAAATCCACCTTAAATGACCCATAAATTGGATCACCATTTACTAATCTCTGAATCTGAAAAACTTAAATAGAAGAAAGAAAATTACTGATTTAATGGTATTTGGAATATGAATGTGTATCGATTTGCAAAAGAAAAAAAATAAAAATAAAATATAATTATATTTAATTCATATTTCATTTACATTTTTCTATTTTCTTTTATAATTTCACACTATTTAAGAAGAATTCAATAATTTTTCTCATAAATTAAAAGAAAAAAATTTAGACGTAGTTTTGTGATAAATTGCAAAAAGAAAAAGAAAAAAAAAAGAAAGATAAAACAGTCCAAATGATAAATAATATATATATTTACTTTCTTTTTTTTTCCTCCCTCGTGTAGGAAGAGAATTGGCTGCGAAATTTACATACTTTTTCTCTACCTGTGCCACGTCATTCAATATGTACATGTGACGTGGCTAATACTCATTCGGCTGAAAATATTATTTTCCCGAAAAAAAAAGGGAAAAAAAATCCTACAGCTACCAGCATTGGTCCGTTTCCCATCTCCGGGTCGGGTAAAATCCGGAACGATTCCCAATAGAGTCGTATCCAAACAGTCGGCGTCCCGATCCGGCACCCAAAGAGAGATCATAGAGCGCTCTCGCCGCCGGATCGGAAAGTGTGGCGTAGGCGTTGTGAATCTCGATGAAGTCGCGGCCATCAGAGGACTCGGATTGCGAGGCCGAGTCCGGGTGGTACATCTTCGCTAAGTTCCGGTACGCCGTCTTGATCTCCATCGGTGACGCACTTCTCTTCACCTTCAACACCTCGTAGAGGCTCCCTAGAGTCCTCGTATCGATCTCAGCCGGAGCTGTGTCGGCGAAGGCGTGAATCGAAGCTTTGCACTGGTTTTTGCCGGTGAAGGAGGTTTTAGGGCTAGATCGGGGCAGAGAGGGGCGGTTCTCCCGGGGAAATCGAAGGGGAGTTCCGGCAGGGAGAGTTAGGGTTCCGATCATTGAATTGGCGTTTTGAGGAAGGTTGAGAAATTGGAATATCGGAAGGTTTACGGTTTGGGCAAGAGAGAGAGAATGGGTTTATATAACAAGGGGGTCACAGGTGGGGGACGTGGGGCCTGTGGCGCAACGCCAAGAGTTCTCGCCTTTGAGCTGTTTCGCAAAATTATTTTTTAAAAATTAAGGACTTATTTGGTTTGTATTTGAGAAACATGTTTTGAGGTAAAAAGTATAAAAATTTGTTTGGTTTGATTTTTTAAAAAAAGATGTTTTAAAAAATTATTTTGAGAGAGAGTTTTGGAAAAAGTGATTGATTTGATGTGTATGACAGAAAGATTTGTTTGGAAAGCTTGTAAACCAAACAAGTTTTGGAAAAATTTATTTGGTTTGATTACTTTTGAAAACTTATTTGTAGAGAATTTTTTTCAAAATTTTTTGAGAAATACAAACCAAACAAGACCTTAGTTTTTATTTTTTATATTGCTTTATTTTTAGTAAATATTCTTAAAATTTTAAACATTTTTTTTCAAATACACCTAGATGTATTTAAAAAATAAAATATTTTTAAAAAATAATAAATATACAAAAATATGAAAAATATATTAATTTTTTTGTTTTTTTGATATTTAGTGAATTTTTTTTATAAAAAATTCATAAAAATTATACTTTTTAAATATATTTATGTCAAATATGTTTAAAAATTAAAAAATTACTTAAAATATTAAAAATATCAATAAAAATAAAAAAAATACGAAAAACGAAAAAGTAAAAAGTAAAATTTTTTAAAAGATGAATTCTGAAAATAAATTATAAATTTTATCTCCTTTACCAATTAAAACACACTTAAAAAGCTCAAAAACCAACGAATAATTTCTCCGAAACAAGGCACTGTTTGTTTGTGTGCCGCTGACATGGCATAAGAAAGAGATTAATTGCTTCTAGAAGATTTATTGCTCCTCCTTGGCTTAGGCTCCATTTGGTTGAGTTTTTAATTTTTTTTTATAAATATTAAAAATTAATTTAATATAAATAAATATCAAAAATAATATTTTAAAAATTTTAAAAAATATTTCCTTCCCAAAAATAAAAAATTAGATGATAATATATATATATATATATATATATATTTTTACTAGACTAATTTTTAAAATTTTAATATTTTTCAAAACATAAAAACTAAAACTCAACCAAGTAGAGGTGTAATGAAGTAACCTATCTATTTGCTAAAATATAGTTTCTATTGGAATTTTAGCTAAAACATAGACTCAAAATCGATTTATAAAAATTTAATACTAAAAGAATTAATTTATTTGATACATTGTTAACTTTTTGACTCATGCAATGATTTTTTAGCATAAAAATGTTTGGTAATTTTTAAAATTTTTATATTTGTATGTAAAATTATCAATTTACCCATGAATAAAAAAAAATTCATAAGAAAGAATGATGGATAAAGACAAAGTAGGGAAATTAAAAAAGGAGAGTTTTTTTATAGGAAATATCACTTCAATGTATACGTACAAAAATATTTTTGGATCAATAGCATTCATTATAAACATTAATATGTAAAATTATAAACACTCTCATAATTTTATAATTAATTTTTGAAAGAATAAAATTATACACATTAATTAGTATATCAATTAGTATACAAACGAATCACGTGACATAATTTTAAAAGCTTTATGTAGAATTATAAACACTTTCATAATTTTATAATTATTTTTGAAAGAATAAAACAATTAGTATACTAACGAATAATGTGATATAATTTTAAAAATTTTGAATCTTTATAATTTATATAAAAGGTAAGATCTACAATTTTAAAGTCATAATGTCATAACATATGTTAATACACTAATTAATATACTAATTGTCGTATATAACCCTATTGTTTTTTAAATCACCTCTAACAAGTAATTCTCCCTTATTTTTTAGATTCCTTAATATTGTATTTGGTTGAGAAATTTATGAAAAGATTTAAAAAGAAAAACAGAAAATATTTATAAAATAAAATAAAATATATGTATATTTTATTTATATTTCACTTTTTTATTTTATTTTTCTTTCCCAGGCTTGTTATTTGAAGATATTTCCTCCAAATTAGAAGCAGCCGAGCCGAAGCTGTTAAGCTGAGCACGATCGGAGGCATGATATTTCCTCGCGCACATGCCAGAGTTTCTAGAAGACAGAGCTATGATCCTGTCCTCTTCGAGAGTATGTGTATCGCTTGATCTCTCCCAAATACTCTAAACCATTCGAAACTGATCGCTCCCTTCCCTCACAGACAACTTTCTCACAATCAAGACCCAAATCTGTGGCTGTGACTCACTGGTTGTGGCTGTGACTGTGAGATAAAGTTTGGCACGTGGCGACGCTTCTAGATGCCTTTCTTTTGCCACTGTTGAGAAATTGACTATTTTAATAAATTATTTTCACTTTTAATTATTTTAATAGATTAACATTTTTATATTTAAAAATATGATTAGATGTAATATTTATGAAGAAAAAAGTAAAAATAATTATAAATTTAATGTGATATTTTATTTTATGAAATATTTTAACTTATTTATTTTTATAAATTTTAACCTAAAAAAATCATAAACTCACTTTCCAAACAAGGCCTTCGTCTTCTCAGTCCCCCACTACAGTACCAATTTAGAATTTTATTTTTATTTTTTCAACTCCTAGTTGCTTTAGTTTACTTCTTGTATTAATTTATTTTAATAGTTTTAGTTGCATTAATATAATTTAATTTTTTTTATATTACGTTAATTTAATTTAATTAATAATGTCCCTTTAAAAATTGAACATAAATAGTCTATTCACTATTGTCTAAGTAATTGAGAAATTAACATCCAATTAAAAATAATCTATTTATTTTTGGATTAATCATTTTGCCATTATTTTTATTAAATTTCTTAACAAATATTAACAATAAAACTAAATTAACTCAATATATAAAATTAAAGGACAAAATTAAGACAATTAGAACTATACGAATCTGGGGTATTATTTATCTATTTTTTCTTAATAATACCACAAGAAGATAAACTCTAAATGAGAGATTCAAACACCCTCAACATCTTTTAGTCTAGTTGATGTATACCCTCTATATATCTTTTTTGTTTTTTTGGGGGTGTAAAACAAAAGGATAGGCACCAGCACCAGCAACAGCAACAGCAACAGCACCAGTACCAGCATATGGGACCCCTTCTAGAAGACTTCTCCTAAACAAGGCTATTTTGAGATTAATAAAAATGAAAGCAACTAAAGGGCACTCACTTTCATCAACTCAATCAAACACACAATAATATAGAGGCACCGTTGTTATTCAACAAATTTAAAAAATAAAAAATAAAAAATAAAAAATTTACAAATAACAAGTGAAGATTGTAACTTTACAAATAATTTATCTATTCAAAAATACTAAAAATTTTATCAAAAGTTTTACTAAATATCTCACATAGGTGTGGAACCCACATAAATCCAACAATCATGTAAGACATTTGATAGAAACTTTAATAATTTTTTTAAGATCTTTAACAGTACTCGTTATCTATTTTTCTAATTTGTATTTCTCTCTTATATATATTAGTAATATTTGTTTAATCTAATCCTTGAATTATTTGTTAATTTAATCTAGGAAGTGTTTGTGTTGTTACATCAAATGAATCTCTTTGTAGTAACCAAGCCCTCCAATTGGCCAAAGATAATAACATATGAAAGTTATGCTCTACCACTAACTCTGAATATTTAATGCGTTACTTGAAAGTGAAACCTATTTGCATTTTTATAGTCAGAATTAAATGCTCCTTCATGAAGATAAAGGGAAGATCAAAAATTATATATTTTGATTGGTCAGGGTCATTATGTTGCCCAGTATCCATCGGGTCAAAAATTCTCAACTGATCAATTAGGATTCTATCATATTTTAGTTCAGCACTTCGTATATATTTGCAAAATACTAATAAACAATGTCACATGAGACTTCTAAATCCATATGTGTTCGACTTTTTTCATAGAGAATATCCAGATTCATTTAATTTTCTCATCATATTTGTTATTTATCTTTTAATATTAGGGAAAAAAAAAAGATTAATTGAATGAAGTCAGTTTCAATGGAAAGAGAGGCCCACCAAGATGAAGGACACATTAAAACAGAAAAACAAAGGCACACACGGTTTTAGAGCATCAACTTGCTTTGCCCACAGGAATGGCTCCAACATGCACTTGTTGATGTGTTTCAAAATTCATCCTAATTTGCCCACTAGGAGTCATTTCAAATGATTTTTTTTTTTTTCTTGACAAGGAAATGAAAGTGTTTCCAGGTATGTAAATTTTACATTTGTTTGATATTTTTACCCAAAAAAAATAACCTTTTACAATGATAAAAAAAAATATCCGTGGGCTAGCTCTGGCTTGAGCTCAGCCCTAGAATAGCCAAGCTCAACAAACCCAGGCAAAGCTCAAGCCAATCCACGAGCCTCACGTCAAATTTACTTGTCTAGTGTTTCACATACTTTTCTTCATGCCCCCAAAAGATGTAGCAACTTTTTGACAAGTTTTTTCCACCAACAATGATACACAAAATCCTTTTAGTTATGAATGGGGCATGATGGGGCATAGCACAATGAAAAGTTTTCCACAGAAAGAAGCTTTCTTTAGCCTCATTTGTCAATTTATAATAATCATATATGGCTCTAGTGAGGTTAATTACTATCTAACCTACCATTACCTAATAGAGAATAAGGCATGAATGACACAGAGAAGAAAACAAGTGGAAAAAAAAGTTTACTATGAAGCCAAATTGAAAGGAAGAGTAATTACTTGTACCTTTTGCAACATAAAAAGCAACAAGTTTGCGAAATTGGGTAAAATAAATGGAAAAATTATATACGTGATCATATGAATATCATTGATTTTTCACCTCCTACATAGATTCACGCAACAAATGACGTGCCTATGAAGCACCAACACGTCCTAAGGGCCTGTGTACGGGTGTCAGACACGTGTCGGACCCGGACACGCTGTGGACATGTGTTTGACACTCTCTCCAATGTTTTTTTTTTTT